CCTCAGACTGGTGGCAAAAAAACTGGATCGGGACATTCCTACTTTAATGTGTATGATGTAATGCTGATGAATATAAAACTGCTGTTTATATAATTGAATATTGCTTTTGTCGGAACAAAACCTTGTATCTCCAAAATGCTAAGTTTACAGGAGAAGTAAAAAACTTACCTTACTTTTAATGTAAGTCATTTTGGGACAATTCTGTTAGTTTATTCACCATGAGATTTACAGACAATGTAAAGGGCAATATTTTCAAATTATGGGACATAATGTACATAAGAGGTTTTGTTCCGACAGCAGCGATATGCATTATTGCGTTGTATATGTGTAATTGTTTTTCTGTCTAAATGCTGTAGCTTTTGCCTGGCTCTAAACATTTACTGATTACATTTATTCGCACATCTATTTACATGCATTTATTGATTATTGATTACCTCATTGTGAACCAGCAGGCAGAAAAAAACAAGATTAACCAGTAATATCATGTTTCACTTCCCCCTCTCAACACCCTCAGCTAACATCAAATGAAAGCCTCAGCTTTCTGTTAAAAAATGCGTCACAGTACGAAAGGAAAATGCATTGTGATTTCCCATTCATGTTGGTTTTAAGACTCATACAGGTACATTTCATGATATTTGTCAGGTTTACCAATTAAATAGTTATTAAATGGCTTCTTCTGAATTGTAAAATGACTAGTTTCAGTCTGAAAACCTGACTGGCTGTGTTTATATCTGTTGTAAAACACTCATCACATACACCTATGACCACCTCCCTGAATTCAACAACTACATTCTGTGTTAATGAACCAAGTCACACTGTAATTGGACTGTCATGCTGCGATCATGGACTACCAACTGTACAGATAGTTGAAGCAAGAACCTGGTTTTGTTTAAACTAAGGGGCTGACAGCTTGATGGCTAGGCGAAAACTTAGCAGGCTAAACAGGCTAATGGATACTAGCCTAAGTCTAAACTGCTCCTCCATTAGCATTTAGTGAGAGTAAAAAATTAAGGGTAAAGAATAAGTTACATTTATGTTTTACACACTTCAAATGTCTGTGTTTTGGGGTAAATCTGCTTTAAGTAGTGTTAAATCCAAATGTGTGGCACTAACAAATACAGAAAATGAATGGGAAGACCAATAACAGCAGCCACAAACCACATTAACGATACAATGGTACAAAAAGGACCAGGGTAGTAATGTTAGCTGAGGTAAACTAAAATTAACATTTGTCTTTTTATATAAAGGACTGGCTGCCTCACTCTGTGCACACTTCAAGTCATACATCATCTGCTATGGCCTTAATTGTATGTAGCAATGGCAAAATGCTGACGTGGAAAGAAAGTGAACAGCTCTCGGAGTCACAGCGCGCCAGCATGCATCAGCATGGAATGCCTGTGCCAGTGTACATACCTTCATTAAAACAATGGTTTTGATTTTTTGGACTCTGCACCACACAACAAAGCATGTCCTGTGTGTGGTGGTCTTAAAAGTTCTTGTTCATCAGCATGGTTGCCTGGCATGAACAGCACACTGCAAACAAGCTACGTTTCTTGGTGAAAAAAACCTTGTTATTGCGGTTATTATTGATTATAACTTTAATTATTAATTGAAAATGTGTGTATTGTATCTCCCCAAAACACATCCAACACCTGCTAAAGCCCTATCGACCTCCATGAAATCTGGCAGCTGTATCACAAATCTCAAAACAAAGGCAGAGATTTTTTTTTCTTATATCGAAAAAAAGTGACATTTTCAATATTTTAAACTAGTCTTACAATCCATTGTTTAAGTTGTGAGCACAAAATTGCCCACAGCTCTTCCATACAAGTCCTCTTGATTTTGTAACTATTTCAATTTTGCTGGTCCCATTTCCATTCAATTATGCTTGTTTTTCTCTCCTTTTCATCAGTCCTTCACTGTGACTTTTATTGCTTCTTCTCTCTTTTTATGTAACGTGTCTTGCGGCACTGCGAAATGCTTTTTAAAATAAAATCATCTTGACCATGAAAGACAGCAAAATGGCAGGTACTCAAAGCAATAACAGCTCTGCAGATTTCACCAATTTACAACACTGAATGTTTTGCCTTTGTGAAGAATGTAATTCAGGCATCACTCAAGGTTAGAGTTTTAAAGGCCGGCGCTACTGTATTAAATAAAGGATGTGGAAAAGAATAATGTTAAGAATCATGCAGACTATCCACTGGTTATGGTTTCTCCATTTGGGTAATATAATCATATTGACTTCTTTTGGCCTAATTAGTGAAAAATTGTGAATATTTAGTTAGTAGGGCTGAGCTGAGGTTCTGCTTTATTAAATAGAATCCTGAACGGTGTACCTGCTGCTGGCTGTATTTAATGGCTGTGGGTCTTGTTTTAATGGAATAGCCACAGCACACACATTTAAGTATTCATAAAATGCCTCCAAATTCCCCTTTCGTCTTCTCAGTGTGTCATTCTTGCTTTCTGTTTCTCTCTGGCATTTAAATGAAGGTGGAGGCTGTGGCCTGGTGTGTGTGTGAGTAGAGGGCTGCCATCATAGGCAGTGGAGTGAGAGGAGGGTGGACACAGGGCAGGTCATTTTTGACCTCTCTTTATCTCAGCTACCCTTAATGGAAGAACAAAGCGGTGGCCCCTTCTTAAAAGTTCATTACAGATCAAATGCAGGGTTTTACTGTGGGAAGGAGCTTATATTACGTGTCAGCAAGGACAGAAAGATTCTTTTGTTGGTTACTTTATTTACCTGGTGATGGTGCTGAATAGTTTGTTGGGGATCTGTCTAATTGCGATTTTACAAAACAATATTGCAAATGCTATTTAAAGATTTAAAGGCCCCATCCCATTTCTTAGTTTTACCCCTAGCCCTTGTTTTCGAGTGTCACCCTAACCCCTTGGAATTGAGTTACAAGGGGTAGTGGTTGAAATCTTTGCCTATGAAATGGGACCCTCAAATAAAAGAACAGGCTACTAGCGCTGCTCTGTAGGCGACCCTGCAGGTCTGCAGTGATAGCAGAGGAGGGTAAAGTTCAGCAACCTCACTGCTGGGCTTTAGTTACGTTTAGGGAATCACATGCCTTCAAAGAAGGGTGTGCAACAATTATGTATTATCACCCACCCCTAATTCTTCGCTGATGTGAAGCTGAAATCAGCTATTCTCCAGCTTTTTGTTCGAATTTTCCCGTTCCACCTTAAATGGTGCAGCAGTTACATTCTGGCACTTCAGGCGTCAGTACTGCTAGACTATTTAAGGTGGAACAGGAAATTTAGCTAGCTAGCTAGCTACCAAGACATCAGCATACTATTAGCAAATGTTTATGCTGTTATGAATAAAAGGACCATAATACACTGAAATGTCATTAAACTAAGATAAAACAATAGTTATCATAATGTTTTAACAGAGAAACACGTACATTTGTGGGCCGTCTTGTCGGTTTTTTCGTTTATTCTCATAACACTCTGTTTGGAGTGTGACTCTGAAAAACCTCCGTTTGGAGGGCCATGTAGCCCTAACACCTCACCCTACCCCTCTGTCTCAACCAAAATCAGGACACCCTACCCTAGACGTGAACGCACAAAACGGAGGGCTAAGGGCTAAGTGGTAGGGGCAAAGGGTGAAAGGGGATTGTGCCAAAGAGTCCACCCTTTGTTCACTTCATGTCCAGCCAAAACGACAATGAAGTTATTCGTTCTTCAGCATTAGGAAATAAAAGCAGAGAACATTATATTAAAAATGACACAGAAGCCTTAACAACTAAATAGATAATCAAAATTGTCAGTATTCAGTGTATTTACTCTTAGTTTTTCCAAGAAATCTGCAGGGATATTTTTCCACACCTCCACAGTTCAGTCTTTGAAGTTGGTTGCATTTTCTGCTTCACACGAAAGTAATCCCAAACACATTCATTATTGTTGAGGTCTGGACTCTGGGGTGGACAGTCCAGTATTCTGAGAACACCATCAGCTTCTTTGTATAATTTTTAGATTGATTCTTGTTTGTCTGTTTCCTTTTCTCAGTCTCGACTAGCATTAATCTGTCCTCTCACAATGGAGGCATAGACACACAGCTTTGGTGGTCTACTAGGCGTTCTCTAACATTCCTCTGTGTCCTGCTGTAAACTGTATTAAATAATTTTCTCAGAAATATCTCCTGAAAAATGTATAAGCTTGTACTTAATAGTTGTTTCAACTGGAAATTTAATAAATGAAGGGTGGTCTCTGACTTTTTCACAGTCCTATATTTTCTCTAAATTTAACTCCAGGCCTGTATTGTTGGCATGAATTGCATCAAATATCTAACAAGCTTCTGGCTACTTACCTCAACTAAGTTTGTATTGCCATTTACAGCATATGGGTGTATGGCTGCTTCTGATTGGTCAAATTCATCTACAGGTAGCTGAAGTATTGGCTTGAAATTGCCCTCTTAAAATAAGTTATAAGGACTGTTATAGAATTTTACACCCTAATGTTTATCTGCTCCATCGGTACAACAATTTCAGTGTGTATACTTCTTCTTAGCAAACAAATAGGAACCCTGTTGACTTGCTGAAGCACCTTCCCAACTTCATTTTTTGTAAGTGTGTTTTGAGTCAGAAGGTTCTTTTTTATTATTTCTTTCATTTTTATCCACTTTTTCTCCCCAGCGTTATCATGTTGTGCCGCTCGGGAGCTTCCAGATTTTCTATTCTTTTTTGTTCTTTTTGACATAATTTTCTGTGGTAGCTGAGCATGTGGTACAGACGCAGCAGACAGAGATTAGAATAATAAATGCTGGAATATTCCTTGAAGATTATGTTGTTAATAATTTAGGCACTGGATGATGCACCTCTTGGAAATCACAGTCTTTAGAGTCACGATTTGGACATAAAAGCGACTGATCATTCAGTCTTATCCTGTGTAGGTATTAATCAGCACCTGCTGCAAAAATATCCAAGGATTGCCTCATACTTGTGTGTTTTGACCTTGCCAGTCTGGATTTGTTTGTTTTTATTTATCCAATGCAGATCATGTGGTGTGTGAAGAAGAGTTTAAGTATGCCATGCTAGCCCTCAACTGTGTGTGCCCAGGGACATCCACCCTGATAACCTTACTGATCCATTCCTCCAGAGGACAGTGAGTAGAAACACAAAAACATGCACTCATATCCTCACTCGTACTATTTTTCTGTAGATAAATACTGCAGTCTTGCGGGGCCAGACGTGATTACGTAACAAGAACATCTGAAGACAACCATAAGAAATTTTGGGCTAAATGTGGGTGGAAAGGTAAACGTATTAGAGTGGTAACAGTTTGAAAGCTGTAAACCAATCCAAAGTCTTGTGAAGCTCAAAATAGGGGTGATGGAACCTCTTGCAAGTAAAAAAAAATATTTTAGCTAAACATAGGTTTGCTAGCTTGTTTTTGTGTTATAGGGTGTGGGAATCAATGCCACGTCGTACTGCTTTATGGGAACGTTCCGCCATATTGGCAGGGTTCGAGAGCTTGAAGAGATTGCTGTATTATTGTTGAGTTGTCATGCAAAAAAAGTCAATCAGATAAGAAGGAGACACCAGGTGGATGGCAAACATGTCAACTGTATGTTGACTTTGGTGATGTTACTAGCCTAGTCACCACGTACCTTTTAACTGGAAAACAGTTAGTTTGTGAAGATTTAGATAACTGATGCAAGACATAATAAATTTACTGAATAAAGCTAAATGTTTCATACCATTAAGTCTATACGAGTATAGAGTATGGTGTTTATCACTCACTGCAGTGCTTCCATTGTACTGTTTGAGTAGAGCTGTGTCCAGATAGTTGAGTAAAACTTATTTTCTGTCTGCTCTCCTTGGCTTTGCTCTGATGCTAGTCAGCTCTGCCAACATATTTAGTGTGTCCATGGGCTACAGAATCAAGGAAAGCACATAGGAATGGAAGATTCATAAAACTATTCAGAACCAGCCTAGACTGACTAATCCTTATGACACCCATAGGACTCTATGTCATGGCATCACGCTCCCAAGCCCAACAATTATTCTCCTTAACAGATGTTAAAAGAGCATAGACTGAAGGAATTTGGGGGTTTTAGAGTGGGTGTATAGTTGTTAGTAGCCGACTGCACCACAGTCCAGCGCTAAAAGTTTAACAAGTTGTCCCCAGATGCGTATTCTGGTTGCAAGATCGCGTGTGACCCCACAAGACTACTAGACACTAATGATGCGTTCATATGTTGGGGGTAGACAGACGACAGCACACCGGATACTGTTTTCCAATGGCGCCTCAGTGGAAAGTTTTGCCACAGCCAGCAGCAGATGCAGCTATGGTCTGTGGAAGGTTCCATTAAGAGTCCCATCAACTTTTGCTGTAGAATGCAGTGGTGAAATATACCAGATGTTGATTTTGGATTTTGGAATTCCAGACAAAATCAGTATTACACATCAAAAAAATTAAAGAGTGATAATCGTCTATTTTCGCCAGTAACACTGGCACCATGCCAACATTTGCGTGGCTTCATGCTGTCATCGGTTGGGTACCACTGTGAGGTGCAGAACAACACTTTTTTCAAAATGCTAACATGTGAACGCATATTAGGCTATCCTTAAAGGAATAGTGTTGAATTTGCTCTGCCCAAATTTAATCCTTTAGCCAAGAAAATCTTGGTGTCTGAATTCCTCATTTGGTCACCAATAAAGATAATAATACAGGAACACACACTCAATCATACATATATAGACTAAAACAACCTGAATCATTACTTACACTGCATCTATGTTTTATTTTCAGAACAGCACCTTCAGAATCCTTCAAGCAGCGTGGGGGGGCCTTCCAGCCCCTCAACAGGTCAGTAAGCTCATGGACTATTACACACACACACACACACCTAGCCCTGCAGTGCAGAGACTCATAAATGGTGAATTTATCTCTGCAGTCGTTTATGTAATGCCCTTTTCTTCACCGCTGCTGCTTTCTGCTGCTCCAATCTCTTCGTCTTTCATTTTCCTCCCATCCACCCAACCATTCCGAGGCCCCCGTCACACACACATCTGCCAGCAGGTGTGTGAGCCGCACGTGTTCACCCTGATAAGATTATATCCGTTTCCTCATGAGCTGCGCTGATTCCTTTGGCCGCACTCGTGGCCATTAACACTGAAGGGGGCTTTGATGCTAATGTCGGAAAATCATAGTGTGAATCTTCATAAAGGTCATCCACCTGTTCGTCTGCAATTTCTCAGGGAAGGCGGCGCAAACTCAGCCGACCAATGGCAGCGCACCTATCGCCGCTGCTCAGCCAACGAGGTGCACCACATCCGGCTGGAGGAGAGCAAGTTTTTCGGGGAGTACCAGGGCAAGAGTTTCACCTTCGCCTCGTTCCACGCACACAAGAAGTGAGCATTTACATGCAAACACACATTTGTTTTATACATATGTGTGTGTATAAATATAAATGTACCCACAGTACTGTGCAAAGGTCAGAGACCACCTTCTCAAATGGCCATCAAAATGACTATTAATTACAAGTTACGCATTTTTAAGGAGGTATTTCTGAGGAGATTAGATATCAGATAATCCACTTGCATAAAGAAATGTAAAGTCAGTTTTCCAACTTCCCAAAATTTCAAAGTAATTCAAAGGTACAAAGAAAACAGAACTCCTGACAACTGTGCAAGAACTGGTAGACCACCAAAACTGTCACCATAAGATAAACAGCACTTAAAACGGTAACACTGACAACTGCTGCAAAGCTGGTCACCACACCGCAGAAGTGAGCCACAACACAACGGAAATGTTTCTAGAGGACTCAAAGGGGTGAAATGTCTTTGATGGAAAATCACTGACAGATGTACATAAGACCACGGACACTCGGACACTCACATCCCAAATTCATGGTTAACTAGTTTGCTATGTGACATGTCAATGCCACTGTACAGTAGTAGTTCTCTGGCATTACTAGTTAAATGTACACCCTCACAGCTGATTCCCATTACGATACAGTGATAGCAGTAATCTGCTCAAATAAAAGTTAGCTTACTTTTACCGGTGAATGTTTTTGCTGCACAAAATTTAAAAGTCTGAATGGCTGCATCCTCTTTGAATATCCTCTGGAAACATCTCTGTTGTCTTGTGACTGGCTTATCAGCGTTTCTGAAGTATCGGAATGAGGACATCGGTGTTGTTGTTTTGCTGAAAGTGCTTTCTGACTTTGCAGATTGTTTTTCATTTGCGGTTTGATGGGTCTTCTCAGCCACCGTAGGTTACGTCAGTTTTAAAGAGAAGCATGTGTAGATGTCATGTAGCCTTATGAACAATACCCTATAGTGCAGTGTTACCCTTAAAGCTTTCATCTTTAAAAGAGAGGATAAAATCAAGCTCCACTGTTGCTTCAGATCTGAAAAATCTGATCCTCAGATGTTTCTGTCCATCCTTCCACTGTGAGAAGACAACTCAACACTATGAGTCTGAAAGGATGTGTATCTGTCATGTAGCCACTGAATGAAAAAAGGAAATAACAAAGAAGCTGATGACAAATTTCAACCTCGCTGAATGTCTTTGGGATTTGTGAGGATCAGAAAATGCAACCGACTTCTAAGACTGAACTTTAGAGGTGTGGGACAATATCCCTTCACTGAACTCAAAACTGAAACCAAGTCTCCCGAAGAAGCTTATTAATAAAGTAAACAAATAAGAGTGTACACTCTAAATACTGTTTGTGTGTTCAGACCATGTGGTGGTAGTATTAGGGGCAACTGACTGAGGCAAGGAAGAAAACTTGAGCTAGAGTTGTGGGTGTCTTCTGCTTGGAGCTAGAAGTCCGGACCCCCCATAACTGTAGTAGGCCTGACATAGGACTGAGCAACAGAGAGGAGATGGGGTGGTGGGGATTGCAAAAACGGGAAACGGAGGATAGATGTGGGAATTTATAGGGCATTGAAGGAGAAGGGTTTCAGGCACAGTCCTCTCCCCAAACCTATTTCTTAACTTCTGTGTAATTTTCTGTTAAATATGTTTTCTGCTTTTTTCCTGATGCTCAAAAAGGATTCATTTGTACTTCATGGCTGCTTTGGCTAGAAATTAAATAAATGAATTGTGGTCTCTGACTTTTGCACAGTACTGTATGTCCCATATGTCTTATCTATAGGAAAGTACTCATATATAGAATTGTAAATACATTGCAAATAGAAAGTTAAAAGAAAGTATTACAATATATGTATAATATGGGGCTGCACTGCTGTGGTAGGTATGGTGTGTGTCTTATTGGCGTGCGGAGACTGGACACAGCGAATATTCTGCTGAACCCTGGGCCCTGCCACATCATGAGCGCCTCAGACACCTGCTTCTACATCAACATTTCCAAAGAGGAAAACTCCGCTTTCGTCAGGGGCCACAGAGAGCCGGCCCGGGGCCCGGGGGGCGACTCACGGGGTGTTCCACAGACCATCTACCACGGACTGACACGCTTGCCTGTACACAGCATCATCGCCAGCATGGGTCAGTCATAAACTCACACGCTCTTATCTACATGGCTTTAGCTATACACAAACATGCAGTATCATCAACAATTTGGACATACCTACCCAAAGAGGGGGTTTTGTTTGCTACATATGCTATTTTTGTTTGCTATGAAATAACAAGAGTCATAGTGTCAAATCTCATGCTAGCAAAGGTTACCAACTAATGGGCGGCGAATTGTTGGATACCAGGCTGCAAGAATACGGCGGTGGGCCGCCTGCTCACTGCTATATTGTTGCAGCGTGGTATCAAACAATTTAGTAACTCCTGAAAGCCACTGTTAAATTGTTATTACAATAATGTAATTAATAATACAATAGCATTTTTACTTTAAGCTTAATTCCTACTAAAACACTTGTAATCTAAATCTATGGCCTTGTGCACGGTTGCTGTTGGCTGTTTTCAGTTGATGGCTAGCGTAAGTGAACAAGCCAAAAACGATACGAAGAAGAAAAAACATAATCGCATTATAAATATAATTAAAGATACATAAAAAAGCATTCATGACCAAACTCCTGCCAATTCGCCAACATCAAAAAATTGTGGAAAAAAAGCTTCAGATTCCTCGCTATGCTGTGATGTAGCACTAGACGCTCTTGGCATTCTCTCAAGCAGCTTCATGAGGATACATCTGGGCTGCTTTTCTTAAAAATATCCACATATGCTGAGACCTAGATGCTTTTAAGATTATGAAAGACATTCATAAAACTCTGACTGATACTGTCCTGTATGCTCCTTATGTCTCAATCCTACCCATGTGAATCACTGTGTACATACTGACAGCTCAAGATGAAATATCTGGTTCGTAATGCTCACTTTCTTCGAAAGGTAATAACAGTGCTGCGTTGCTGCGCATGAATAAGGAGGATGAATCAGGGCAAGGCAAGAGACAAATGGTTGACAGGATAATAAAGATGTCAGGGTTCAAAACATATTATCATGGAGGCTCCCACTGGTCCAATTATGCCACCTAGCGAAAGGGCCTGGAACTGAATTCTGCATGTGTTCCAGCAGCACATATTTCCACTTCAAACAGTGGAGGAATTAAGACCATCATCCTCAGCAGGGCTAATTGGGATGTCACAGCTTCAGGTTCCTAATTAACATGCCAGAAAAATGGACCTGAGAGCGCTAATGTGTCTGAAGAATGACATAATTCTCAAAGGAGCTTGTTGAGCTAGCATGTGTTTTGGGGGGAAAATGATAAAAAAACACAACTAAAATGTAAATGAGTAGTAAAAAAAAGAGTTAAAATTAAATGACTACAGTTACACAATTTTCCACTTGCCCTGTAGCAATTATTCATGTTTAGTATCTGTAGTTTGCTTCTTTAGTTTAGTACTGGAGTTATGAGGCTAATACAGCCAACAAGTAAGTGAAGCTTATACTCTGCTAATTAGCACTGTGCTAACTGTGTGTGTTGATCATTAAACTTGCCTCAAACCATGTCGGTATGTTAAATGATCTCAAAAAGACTTGCTTATGTGGTTTCTGACTCTGTATAACATACTGTTATTTGTGAAAATGGACACATTTCACGCTTCAAGATGGCTGCTGCTACTGTTTTTAGCTATGGTATGGACTTTTGGTCATTTTTATCTGTTTTTGAATGTCATTGTAAAAAACCACATAAGCAGGTCTATTTGAGACTGTTTAAAACTTGGCACAGTTTTATGTGATGGTTTAATCATGTAGTTTAAACGTGTTTGGTGCTGTTTGGTTGCTAAAATGTTCAACTTGTTAGCTACATTAGCCTCACAGCTCCAGTGCAAAACTGAAGAGGAAAGCTTTGGACAGCAATTATGTTTTGGATGAATATCTACATTTGGGGTAAGGGGGATATATGCCAAGCTGTTCCCTTAAAGGGGAATTCCACCATTTTTTTAAAAAAATTCTGTGTGAATACATGGTAGAGATATAGATAAAGTCTTTTAGACTGGCTGCATGCGAAAAGCTCCATTCTAGAGAAACTTAGTGAATCTGAATTGTTCACAGTGGTGGTGATTGGAACCAAATGTCTGGGGAGTTTAATGCCTTTAAAAGCTACCTCACAGAAAGTTATTACATGAAATGGTTATGAATACGCTGTCTGATGACATTGATTTACAACTGGTTTGAGATAAGATTTTTTTTATATTATTTATTCATGGTGGAGGGTTACATACAGTACATTGGGCAAAATGGTACCAAAGGAAACTTAGTTTTTCAGATTTTTAACCATTATATTATATACATTACATTACATATAAAAATTCAGAAGACAGGTGGAGGTTCACTGGTGGTTTTGGAATAATAGATAAAATAGCTATAATTGAGTTGTAGACATTGCGACACCTGGTTACTATCACCAACACTGTAAAGAAATGCAAGTCGATAAGTTTTTATACAGTGAACCACTTCACATCAAACCACTCTGACTGACTTTATTTACATCTTAACAAATACATCATGCAGAAAACGCAGTAAATTCATTGGAATTCACCTTTAACCCAGTGCTGCCTTCACTCTTGTGTGTGGATTCCTGTCTGCAGGCACGGTGGCTATAGACCTGCATGACTCCAGTGACAGCAGTCCAGAGGGCTCAGGGCCAACCGGTGTGGGCGGGGTCAGTGGTGGGCGTGGTGGGGTCCGGGCTGAAGCGGGCGTGAGTAACACCCTGTCGCTGCCTGCAGTGGCCGATTCAGCGGAGGAGAGGAGGCACAGCATTGCCCCTGTGCTAGAGCTAGTGGACGGGGTCAGCCCCACCTTCGATCTGCTGGGGGACCAGTCCGAGGATGAGGCGGGAGAGGAGGGAAAAGAGGAGGAGGAGGAAGAAGGAGCAGAGCAGAAAGGCCAGTGGTGGGGAGCACAGTGCGAGTGAGTAGAGCTGAGATTGAAGCTGTTACTGTTGATGATGTTTGATGGGACAGAATGATATCAGCATTTTCATTATTGAATTATTTTAACAAGCTAACAAATTCCAATAATCGTTAATATCAGCCAATTATATATGCTCAAAAAATTGGCTGATATGATTGTTGTCATCGAATATTATTATGTCAGTTTTCAATAGTGGAAACTCAGATAAACAGCATAGAGATAGATATACACCATGCTGAAGCACTTTAAGTTGCTTTATATTTTGTGACACTACATGGAATCCTGTACACAAGCAAGCAAAGTTTATTTATATAGCGCTTTTTACAACAGGTGTTGTCACAAAGCAGCTTTACAAGAAAATCAGCATTACAGAAAGAAATCCGGGTCCAAGCCCCCTGTACTATTTTTAGACTTGATGTGTGACAGAATTGGATAGGATTTTTTTTTTTTTTTAATTACTCTGATCAGTCTTTTTATTTATGTATTTTATTTATTTGTAATTATTAGTCTATTTATTTTTTAGTTTTAGTTTTTATTTAATTAGACTAGATTTGTACAGAATTTGATTGGATTCATTATTTGTTAATTACTGATATGATCCTTTTATCATATAATTTTTTTCTTTATTATTTATTCATCTGTTTTAGTTATATTTTACAATACAAACTGTATTTTTTTATTTCTTTTCAATATTTTAATATTTATTATATTGGTACATTTCTGTTTTTTTTTCCAATTAATTTTTATGTTTAGGCTAGATTTATGACCGAATTGAATCCATTTTTAAATTTTTATTTATTTTTTTTTTGTTGTTGTTTTATTTTGGTCTCATGTTTGGCCTTGATGTAAGTGCTTTTGTGTGTGTGTGTGTGTGTGTACTAGGTGGGTGAAGGGCTACCCACTGAACTCTCCATATATCGGGAGTTCTCCTGCACTTTGCCACCTCCTGCAGGAGAAGATGCCTTTTTGCTGCCTCCGCCTTGATAAGGTGAGAACCTCTCTCCTTGTTTATCCCCTAAAGCACAACACAAAACACACAAAGTGCTGCTACACCACAAAATCACTGCTATGAACTGAACACCTGTAGCAGCTTCACTCAAATCTGGCCCAACAGAGCTGTTAGTCAAATTTGGTTCAGCATCTGAAGACAACACAGAAATGGAAAAGAAATCTACCAAGCTTTCAAAAAGGATAGTATTAGTAAAGTAGCAAAGAGGAAGTGGAAGTGATGGCAGTATGGGTGTGGTAATATGTGTAGTTAGTTTTAACTATAGAGTCAAAGAACATAAAGAAGTGTGTTGCAGTGTCAACCACCACACACCGGACGTGCTGCACCACACCACAACCAGAAAGTCAAAACCACTGTTTTTAATGAAAGTGCACACGCACTGACTTTCAGCATTGACATTGTCAATTTCTTAGAGCATCACTTAGCATTTTGCATCTACATAATGTTATCTATAAATATCGCCTATGGGAATGTTACTAACCTAGTCGTATCATAACTTCACCTCATACCTTTTAGCCAAAAAGTTAGCTGATACCAAATATCATAACTTTATTAAATTGTGTTAAAAGCTTTGTTCTATTAAATCTGTAGAGTGTAAACTGACCTTGCTTGATGTTTATTGATGCTCTCACTAGGATGCATCATACTATCTGGCATGTCTGGTATAAAGTTGCATTTAGAGCAGGAACGCTGATGTAGAATATGTTCCTGTCAGTAAAGTTGTAGTAAACAAGAGGCATTTATCTTATCTATTTTTGGAAGTCTCAGGTGGAAAAATACATTTATGTTTTTCTTCTTAAGATATTTTAGTGAATCTTTTAGAGATTTGAGTTGTGTAGATTTCTGTTGTGTTAGTCTTTCACACACATTGATTTTGGCAAGATCTAATAGTTAGTATGATCTGTGATGAAGGCTCTTTTCAGTCACTGCTCTTCTCTCTGCTGACCAGGCGTGCCACCACATGCCGTATGAGGACGCCCGTTCTTATGGCTTTAAAAACAAGCTGATTATTGTGTCGGCTGAGAGTGCAGGCAACGGCCTGTACAACTTCATCGTGCCTCTGCGAGCCTATTACAGACCCAGGAAAGAGCTGAACCCCATAGTGCTGCTGCTGGAGAGCATGTGAGTACTGCAAACAGAAAACAAATCACTAGTCCTCTGACTTTACAACGATTTAAATCCATTTGTTAGGAAATGATTCAGTACATCATGGAATCTCACAGTGGATTTGAACATAATTTGTTTTGAATATTTTAGTATGATTCAGAATTATGAATATTGAAATATATTGTACTGAATACATATGAACTACTGCACTGTGCAAAAGTCAGAGACCACCTTGTTTTAATGTCCAGTCAAAATGGCCATTAAGTACAAGTTATTCGTTTTTCAAATACACTATATGGCCAAAAGTATATAGACGCCTGACAATCACACCTACATGAGCTTGTTGCACATCCCATTCCAAAACTGTAAGTATGAGTTTGGAATTGCTGCTGTAACAGCCTCCACTCTTCTGTTTTTGGAGTGTGTCTGTAGGAACTTGTGCCCATTCAGTCAAAAGACCATTTGCAAGGTCAGGCACTGATTTTGGACGAAAAGGGCTGGTTCGCAGTCAATGCTCCAAGTTATCCCAAAGGTGTTCCTTGAGGTTGAGGTCAGGGCTCTTTGTAGGCCACTGGAGTTCCTCCACACCAAACTCAAACCGTATCTTAACAGAACTCACTTTGTGCACAGGGACAAAGTCATGCTGGAACAGGAAAGGGTCTTCCCCAAACTGTTACCATGACGTTGGAAGCATGTAATTGTCTAAAATGTCTTTGTCTGCTGTAGCATTTATATTATCCTTCAGTGGAACTAAGGGGCCCAAACCCTGAAAAGCAGCCCCCAGCCCATTATCCCTCCTCCACCAAACTTTACTGTTGCCATTATATATTCTGTTAGGTAGTGTTCTGCAGGCATTTGACAATCACATATTCGTCCATGGGAATGCCAGATAGTGTGATTCATCACTCCAGAGAGCACGTTTCCACTGCTCCAGAGTCCAGTGTTGGCACATAGTGATCTTAGGCTTATGCGCAGCTGTTCAATCATAAAAACTCATTTCATGAAGCTCCTGACGGTCAGTTCTTATGCTGATGTTGTTACCAGAAGCAGCTTGGAATTCTGTAGTGAGTGATACAACAGAGTATAGGCTACTTTTATGTGCTGTGCAGTCCAGCACTCGGGGCCTTGCTCTGTGAGTTTGCATGGTCTACCGCTTTGTGGCTGAGCTGTTGTTGCTTGTAGATGTTTCCTTTTTACAATAACAGCACTTACAGTTGATCTAGGCAGATCTAGTAGGGCAGAAATTTCACAAACTGACTTGTGCCAGTTATAACAGTGGCACATGTAAAGTCACCAAGCTCTTAGGTATGATCTTTTCAAACGCCAGATACTGAAGATTTTGACGCTGAAAAATGAATAACTTAATGGCCATTTTGACTGGAAATTAAGTAAATGAAGTCTCTGACTTAATGTTCTTATATTTATTACTAGAAGACATACCATTATCCAACACACCTAAACCAAAACAATAGGACTGGTGTCAATATTTTTAAAAAATTGCCACATACTTTGTGACACATATTATTATAATAAATTATCATAGATAGAACATTCTAAAATTGATGCAGCTGTCGGTGCATGACAGTGCGTGAAGACATTTTTACACCCTTAATACACAACAGGCTTCACTCATGAGCAGTGCGTCTTTGTCACACTGCAGTAGCTCGCGTTTATTATTATGAAATCTAGCCGCTGTCTTGCTTGTGATGGAAGAGCAGTGCAGGCCTGTAATACAATCAAAGGTAATAAAGCTCTGAGTCATTCGTTGTTGTTCCCCATTATCTAACTGCAGGCGGGATTTCATAGCAGAGTGTCCCAGAATCACAGCAGGTGATTCTGTCACTTTTGCTTAAATTTGATCATAAATACTAGGGAAAAGACATCAAGGGAACGTTTAAGGCACTTCGTACCAGAGATGTGATGATCAGCTTTATTTCATTTATTTATTCTTCTAATCACCCGTTGTTCTGTAAGAGTATACAGTGTACAGTATATGAACAGTATTCCGTTTTTTTTAAATGATTGTTTTTATTTTATTTTTTACTTCTGTAAAAATGTGTGCACCCTTTACTCAGTTCAAACCCACCATTTGCCACTGATGAACTTAAACCAGGCACAAGTCACAACCCCAACTCTCTAGTAGGGTCTGATTAATGTACATACATTCTCACTGATACTGATTTTAACTGGCTAAAAATTACATTATTTGATATAATTTTATGCGTTCATAAGTAGACTTCAGCAATTTAACTTAAAAAGTGCTTTACTAAAATTTTATGTTTATTTTTATATTAAATTTAGCAAATAAACTTTGATTTTGCATTAAAATGTGCAAAAGTATTTTCTTGAAGGATGTATTAACTTCAATTTGACAGAGGCGGTCAAATGTTTACATATGACTGTATTTTGTTGTTTTATTTTTTTCCAAGATGTTAAACTCAGCAAGTAAATAGAAATTGTGCAATAAAATTAGCAGAAAAATGTGACCAGTGGCAGCATGCAGCTGTGTAAACGTTGCCACGGTGATAGCATCTGCCTCTATCTATTTAAAGTGTAAAACATCATTAGAATGTGAGAACTATATGCCTTTGCACATGCAGATCTTAAATTTTGTAATATTTTGGAATCTGGGGGACCTAGCTTTCAAGTGGGACAGCCTAGGCCCCCTAGGGTCCCCCTTAGGTACTCCCCTGATGTGTGTAACCTTAAACGAATATATTAAACAAATTTATCAGCCATGTATCATATCAGTTGGGCCCTGCTCTCCAGTCTTCACTGTTTAAGAATGTTTTCGTGTGTATCTTTGTTTGTTTATCAGCCCTGAAGCAGACTTCCTGGAGGCTATCTGCTGGTTCCCTATGGTCTTCTACACTGTGGGCTCCATTGACAAGTAAGGGAAGCCTCAGGCATTTTCTTTACTCGATTGATTCTTTTTCGCTTAACTGAATTCTTCTTTATGCTTCTGATTTCAAAATGCTGTGTCTACGTCTTTATGTGTGTGCAGTCTGGACAGTCTCCTGCGCTGTGGGGTGACGTTTGCAGACACCATGGTGGTGGTCGATAAGGAAAGCTCTATGATCGCGGAGGAGGACTACATGGCTGATGCCAAAACCATTGTGAACGTACAGACCTTGTTCAGGTATGGCTCCAGCCCCTGAGTGTAGATGAAGCACATGCTGTTTCTTCACCCAGGAGTCATCTCTTTTGTGTGGGGTTTCTTTTGTGGACGTGGATGGGCATCTTTTCATGTGCACAGTAGGCGAAGGACATATAGTCTGGATATGGATATACAGCTGTGATGTCACAACAATGAACACATTAATGTACAGTCATTTTGTTGATTTTCTAAGTGATGCGTCCTCTACAGAGAACACACTTCTGCACATTTTAGTGCACAATTACTGTCTACTGCTGAATTTGACATATTGGGAAAAAAATACAACATAAATAGTGGCCTGTGCGAATTTATGGCACATTTAATTTTTTTTTTTCCCCAATATGTTAGTCTTAAATAAATTGCAGAAATGTGCAAAAAATTGAATATTTAAATTTGCTCCCTGTTGAGATATAACTTACTTTCACTTACAGAAATGAACAAACCAAAGTCACTTTATCAAGGATGTTTAAACTTTTGTATACGACTGCGTAACAGCCCATACAGTGTACAGCAGTTTAGTCAGCACATTCACATTGAAGTGATACGGGATGTTGCTCCTGCAGATAGTCTGTAGCAGAGCTATCGGAATGGAGGGTGTGGGTTAAACAATTAAACGTTGTACGGTTCCTGACTGTCAGGAAACAAATATACAATTGCGGACTTCCCAAAGATCCAGTATTTAAAAGGAATGGCTGAACATTCCTGAAGATTTCAGTCTGAAAAGTTAAGTCCATATATTCCAGCTTCATTTCACTTGTGAAGAGGTCAGCCAATCAGAACAGAGCTCATTTACATATGTCTGTCTTAAAGGCCCAGCTACACCAACAGCTTGTTTGGGAAATGGTCATGTAAATAATTATGACAGTTGTTGTTCTATAATAAACAAAATGTAAAAAAAAAAAAAAATATATAAGAAACAAATAGAATATGCTAACCTTTCTGCACATGTAGCTCCAGCAATCAGCTTCATGGTAATTGAGCAGCAAGCTAGTTGCTGCTGGCTAGCTTGTTGTGTGCCCAGCGACTAAATACAGACTACATGAGCTCAGCAGAGGCATCATGATGAGGTGGGCATACAACCTTTGTTTACTGATCTGAAGAGAATGCTTCCTTGGCTAATCTCAGTGTGTGTGGGCGTTTGCGTTTGCTGGAATCTTTGCTGTGAGTCCCGGATGTGCAGCTGTGTGAATGTGCTGTTCCTGCTGTTTGTTTCTCACAGGCTTTTTCCAGCTCTTAGTATAATTACAGAACTCACCCACCCTGCCAACATGCGGTTCATGCAGTTCAGAGTGAAAGATCACTACTCGCTCGCCCTCTCCAAACTCGAGAAGGTTAGTCTCATCACTGCCACACACGTCCACAAGCTGCTGTCGTTTTAACGGTGGATTTACATTGGTCCAGTGCGGCTACATGCATGAACGCATTCGGCCTCTTCACTTGGCTGCATAAGACTGTTTTACGCATTCCCTACGAAATTCAGTTGAAATTATTCATGATAAATCATTGTTTATGCCATTTATGCTTCTCTTTTTTGAATAATCAGAAAGTCAAGACCAGTTCAGATTTTGGCAAAGATAGTTGAATGTGACTTTCAGTCAACATCAGTGACTTCAAAATATTACAATTCAATCATCTTCCCATTTAGACTTTGAATTTTGAAAGTAAAATGGTTGAGATATATAAGCTTTCGCTGATGTTATTCCATGTCACATGATGCACTGTAAAAAATAATTATTGTTTTCACTTTAAGAAGTTAATGTTCAGAGTCCCTTAAAATTTTTGAGATAATTCAATTTCGAATAGTTAACGAAACAAGAATCTGTGTTTTATATCAACTTATTGTTTGAAGTGTAAAAAACTCAAAATTTAAGGCAGCCTGGACACAATTTCCTTGTACAGTCTGGGAACATTGGAAAACTGTAACAAATGCTTCAGATATTGAGCTTTGGATACTAATCATGCAAACATGGCTTCTAACTGGGTAAATGAATCAAATAAACCAGATTCATTTTCATACATTTCACATCCGCTCAACTTTTTTCAACACGCTGCATCCAGCCCAAATTTGATGTGGCAGTCCAGTCATGCACTGCCCTTTTACATGCGATAGATCCAATGGCTCTCATAAAAAATCAGTGTGATCTGTTGCGGTGCAGACCAATGTAAATGCACCATAAGACATAAACCCAGAATTTTCACAGCCAAAACTTTACACCACATAGAGTACCATCTAAAAGTTAAAAAGACATTTTGATCGAAAGACTTTGTGTTTTGAAAAGAAATATAAATAGCAAAGCTGATGCCCATGAATGAATTCATTGTTGTGGTGGTAATGATGGACCATACATGAATAAAAAAATATAGTTTTTTCTTAAATGCCAAGTAGCAGGCAACAAGATGTGAGCATATGTGGAATCCTGTTGGAAGAGCATCCCAAAGAAGGAATTCATTGAGGAATTTTTGAAGAACTATCTAGATTCTCTTGCTTTGAATCATAACGATCTAGAATAATCTGAAATAGAAGAGGGTCATGATACTTGGCTACTGTGTAATTCCATGTGATACAGTGCAAACGTCTGCAAAAGTCCACCATTCATTTATTTAACTGCCAGTAAAAACAGCTATCATTATTATATCATATCATTTTTATACCATATGAACATGAAAGCACATATTTAAAATTACAGAAACCTCAACTACTATTTTTTTCAGTAGTTAGTGTGTCCACTCTTTACCTTTTTTACAGCTGATATTTTTTAGGAGACTTGCTTTCAGTTTTTCAAAGAAATCTGCATGGATATTTTTCCACACCTCCAAAGTTCAGTCTTAGACGTTGGTTGCATTTTCTGCTTTACATGATCCAAGTAACCCCAAACACAATCACTGATGTTGTGGTCTGGACTCTGGGGTGGACATTGTTCTGAGAACACCAGCAGCTTCTTTGTTTCCTTTTCTCAGTAAGAGCTTCTTGGCAGCTACACATCCTTTCAGACTCATAGCGCTGAGTTGTCTTCTGACAGTGGAAGGATGGACAGAAACACCTGTGTTATTTTCCAGATCTGTGTCACAGGAGCAGGAGACTGGATACAAATGCAGTGGCTTTTAATAGCAGACAAAACACATACATGACAACAGAGAAAAGGCAGGCCGACAAGTCCCAAGAATACTGACAAAGTTCAAACCTAGACAGCAAAAATACAACAAAACACCGCTCAGAATCGAGTAAAGATGCCAGAGAATTCATGACTGAAAGTCACAAGCCAGTTTTTAAAACCAAGGACTAATGAGGTCTAGGTGAAGGAAGACAGGGCCTGTAATCAGACGTCTGGCAAAGCTAAACATTGGAGAGAGGTGGGCAGTGCTTGGGATGTGACAATCTGCAGCAAGAGTGGAGCTTGATTTTCTCCTCTCTCTCAAAGATGAAAGCTGTTTATCTGATGGTTGTTAAGAATCCCATTTTCTCTGTGTCTCTTAGCAAATTTTTGAACTCCAGATTTGGAAACACCTGTTTTTTCACTGATTGTGCTTTGACTTTCTCCTTTCTTATTCAAGTGGATTATCTTACATCTAATTTGCTCTTAAATATCTCTTGAAAATAAATAGATGGAAGGTGGCCACAGTGCTATACATTACCAACAACATGACTTATACAAAACACATTTTCATTTAGTTAAGCAAATAGACAGAAGAGAAGTACTGTAGCGCTCTGGGAGCTAAACATGTGTTAAATCTGACTTCTTAAAATAAGGAAATTGTACTTTTAGCATAGCTATTTAGGCTACATGTCACTGTTGTTATCACATGAACTTGTTTACTCTGCTTTACATTAAGTTGTGCCACAAGAAATTCTATGATATTTCAGGCTAAATTTGTAATAGATTTATTTATTTTCTTCCTTTGATATCAAATCTAGCATTTTGTGCTGATATAAGCCTGATACTGATACATCTCTAGTCTCTAGACCTCACTATTATTCTAAAATGTGGAAAATAGTACAAATAAAAGAAAATATTCTGTCTAAACATTTGACTGTGCATGAGTGAGCAATGTAAGTTAATGTGCTCTACCATGTACTTGCTGCCATGTTGGTCCTGCAGAAAGAGCGAGAGAGGGGCTCCAACCTGGTCTTCATGTTCCGATTACCCTTCGCCGCCGGGAAGGTGTTCAGTGTCAGTATGCTGGACACTCTGCTATATCAGGTAACAGTAAGCCAGTAATGGACACCGAGCTATTCTCTTTCTCCATGATTCTGCAGACCCACTGCAGGTGTATGTGTGCTAATGTGCTTAGGACAGAAAGTGATACATGTTGGCGAGATGTTTGGTAATCTGAAGTGCTCTCTGTTGTCTGTTTGTATGTGCTAGTCCTTTGTGAAAGACTACATGATCTCCATTACCAGACTGTTGCTGGGACTGGATTCCATGCCTGGGTCTGGTTTCCTCTGTGCCGTGAGTACAACCTCAGATTTCACCCACCCACTCGGTGGAAAGCCCAATATTTTAGCGCTAGAAGGATGGTGAGATGACCATGATCTCAATGGCAATGATGATCATGATATTGATCATGGTAGGACTGACCTGAATAATTTGAGTACTCAAGTATTTCTTATGGTGGTGTTAGTTTCCTAAGCTAATATGTAGCCTAAGCTACAATACATTTCATCAAAGTACTCTAAACAGAACAGTTATTGTTAATATAGAAAATGTTAAAATTAAATAATTATACATTTTAGGTGTTTAGTCAAATACATTGTAAATTAATATCAGGCATAGCCTACTTTGCCAGCCCTAGATGATGATGATGACATTTATAAAGATCAGCCATGACACTGCAGAGAAGGGAAAAACCTTGAGTTTGCACAACTTAGGAAAACAAATAAAAGTTAAAGGGGAAGTTCACTGCAGATGTGATGGGAACCAGATGTCTGAAGAGTTTAATGCCTCTAAAAGCCTAAAAAGCTCCCTCACAGAAAATTATAACATGAAATGGTTATAAATACGCTGCCTGATGGCTGTAACATACAGGGCACTATAAGGCAAAATAGTTCCCTAAGAAACCTTCATTTTTACCACTGTTTTAACATCAACATTACATATTAAAATTCAGAAGAATTGTGTCATTTTGGATAGTGTGACTCCTGGTTCCTGTCATCACCATTGTAAAGAAATCTAAGTCAGTGAGTTTCTGTACAATAAACCATTTCAAATGTAACCATTCTGACTGTGTTTACATCTCAATAATTGAATTATGCAGAAATTTTGAAAAGTTGGTGGAATTGCCCTTTTACTTGTTCGCACAGTAAAACTCAAATCGGTAAAGTATGTATCCATGGCCTTTTATAGCTTCTGCATGGTAGTGAGGTTGATGTAGATGATATGAATTCCTAGATGAAGATCACAGAAGAAGACTTGTGGATCCGCACCTACGGCCGGCTCTACCAGAAGCTCTGCTCGTCCACAGGAGACATCCCCATCGGCATCTACCGCACAGAGGCTCATAAACTGCCTGTGTCTGAGGTACGCAAACCTGTAGAGCCACAACGCCATAATACACATAATACAATAAAACCAACAGTGTAATATAAGATCTTCCAGCATTGCTTATAATCCAGCTTTAAACTGGATTAACTTTTTAAACTAAACAGCTGTGAATAGGATTCAGAGGAGCATATCAAGAATTAATTCAGCGCTGGTGATTTTAAAGACTTACAGACAGACTTGAGAAGCCATAATCTCAAAATCCCTAGGCAATAACAAACCCAGTTACAAAGTCAATAAGACTTCCCCACTGTGCCCACAATCTTATTTGAAAGTAGACTATATGACCAAAAGTTTGTGGACAGCTGACCATCACACCTCTATGAGCTTGTTGGACATCCCTATAGAACTGCCTTTTCACCCTGCAGCTGTAACAGCCTCCACTCTTCTGGAAAGCTTACCACAAGTAAGGAGTGTGTCTGTGGGAATTTGTGCCCATTCAGTCAAAAGAGCATTTGTGAGGTCAGGCACTGATGGAGGAAATGGCCTGGCTCACAGTCGATGTTCCAGTTCTTCCCAAAGGTGTTCAGTGGCACTGAGGTTGATGTGTTGTGCATTCTGAGATGCTTTTCTGTTCACCGTGATTGTACAGAGTGGTTATCTGAGTTAACGTAGCCTTTCTGTCAGGTGAACCAATCTGGTTGTTGTCTTTTGACCTCTCTCACCAACAAGGCGTTTCTGGCTGCAGAACATCTGCTGGCTGGATGTTTTTCTTTATTGTACCATTCTGAGTGAACTCTAGAGACTGTTGTGTGTGAAAAAATGATCAAATTGTAAGTCGCTTTGGATAAGAGTGTCTACCCAATGCCGTAAATGTAGATCAGCAGTTATAGAAATACTCAAACCAGTGTCTGGCACCGACAGTCATGCCACAGCCAAAATCAGTGAGGTCACATTTTTACCCCATTTTGATGGTTGATTTGAACATTACCTGAAGCTGCTGGCCCGAATCTGCATAGCTGTGTAGCTGCGACACAATTGGCTAATTAGATAATTGCATGAATGATTCGGTGTACATGTGTTCCAAATACAGTGCTCGGTGAGTGTATATGTCATGTGCTTCCTCACACCCAGTTTTTTTAATCAAGGACAAAGCAATAGATTTCACCCAATGTGAAATGTGCAGAAACACTAAAGGAACAACACATAAAACTTGCAAGCTCTATTATGGAGGTAGGTTTGTGAGCCCAGTGTTGTTCACCTTGGCAATGCACGTCCATTGATTTTGCTGTTGAGTTCAAATATCAACAGTCATTCTCCAGAATCGTATAGTGCGCCTTTAATCAGGCATGTGACATCTGTTTTGAAAAACATCCGATTTATCTGTCCACATGAAAACACTGAAAGTTTCAGTGAGCTAAAATGTATATGTGTGGATGAGGAGATTTGTGTGAATTAACACGATAATGGAGCTCATCCCTTCAGCCAGGGCTGTTTATTCTAGTTGCTAAACTGAAACAGAGCTATCTGAAGAGCAGATGATGACACACTATTTTTGACTGCAGTCACCACACGGAGCTTCTTGCTGCGGATGCAATGCGTTTTTTTGGGTGATACCTACTCACCCAAGCTGATGTGCAAGATGAGATTGTTTTTACACATTTTACAGAAAACTGTTTTTTATAATGATGTTAAAGTGAAGTGTTCACATAATATTGACTTTGCACAACCCTGTACTGCAGTCTCTGCCTCCTGCATCTTCCGTTTCAATCAAGTAATGTAAATGAGGAGCACAAACATAATCAAGCTAATTGAAAGATAACAAGATAATTTTTTATCAACTTTATTGATAACATCAATTAGTAGTTGCCACTCTAAATATTAAACTGTTGGTTGATACATTGTAAATTGGATATTATGGCCTTTTTATTTTATTTTTCTGTTTTAAAACTGAGGTTAGGTTATGAAATGGTACAAATACATGCTTTTCTCTTGGGAAAAGCTTATTTAAAGTACACAGTTAAACCTTAAAACCATTTGAGGGTACATTTACTTTTTTTGTACCTCGATGGACAAAAAGTGAACCTGCGTAGTACCTTTTTTTCTGACAGTCTCATATTTTCCATCAGTCCTTACTCTGCAAAATAGGCAGAAATAAGCAAAATAGTTTACCAGACAACCATCATTACAAATAAATTTCACTCTTTTAACAAGAAATATTTAATATTCATCATTAGTTAGCTGACTAATGTGATGTATTTTGAAAGGCATCGGCCCTTCGGGTATACCGTAATTGTAGTGATGCACTGAATTATGGGATATGGTGTTTTCCCTGCATTTTGTAGCTTGAATGGTAAACACAGCCGGTTCACGTTTCATCTCCACCTCTATGATTATTTATTGTATATCCAGTATTCCACAGAAGTGCTAATGATGCAGCAGCTAACATGCACTAGAATTCCATTCAATATTTCAGAGAAACTGACTATATTATTGTCAAATGAGTATCAAGACATGGCCATACAAAGTAAAATCCAAAACAAAGGAATCTCCAAATGCTAACTAACATTGTGCTAACGTGTAGGCTAACCTAACATTAACCTAAAACTCAGGTCCCGTGAGTCAACAGCCCTCCAATAAGTTTTTCCTTCTTCTAACAGTCCAAATGTAACTTGCGAAGGTCTTGCTAATTAGGTCATGAGCTGAATCAGTATTTGGGAAAGTCCCACCCTTCAATAAACAGAACCAATCACCTTGTTGGTAAAGGTGTAAGAAGGAACCCCCCCCAAATCATTGTGGAGGAATGAATATGCACTGTAGCCAGAACAACCTTAAAAACTACAAACTAGTTGGGATTTTTCCATTTCTAATATGTTTTTGAAACAATGTGCTTTGGGTTTTTGACTGATGGGTCTCTCCCAATTCAAAGAGATGGCTGGAAATAACTGCCCAGGTGCGTTGCCAAGATGGCCGCTGAGTAAGCAGACTTTCCTATAAGGACTTTGCTTCTATTCTCGTTTCACTGGTGACCCTTCATTAACTGCAAGCCATGACTTTTCACTTATAAAACCACCTGCAATGGTTGTGTTAACATAATAAGACTCTCTACTAATGACTTTGAATTAGTGCTGGTCAGTATATCATCTATACCATTATATCGTGATACTGATAAACTGTGATAATACTTTTCACTATTAATGATATATTAGCGATTTATTTGATCTTTCAGAGCCTTTTTCATGGAAGTCATAAAAAGCAATTTAAGCCTTTTTGGAGGTCTCTCAGTCCCTCAAACCAAGCTAGGCCAGCTTTGTAAGACAATCTTCTAGCATTCTTCTATCAGTACTCATGAAGAATAGCCTCGTAAGCTTAACAAATGCTAACCTAAATATCATCTGACACTGTGATATACTGTGATACTGAATATTATCCATATCACCCATGCCCCTTTTGGATATATAGTGCTATAGCACTCATATGAGTCAGTGATGTTCAGAAGCTCTGATCTGATGTGTCTTTCTTGCAGTCGCAGGTGTCCATCACAGTGGAGGACTACGAGGACACGCGGGAGCCCCGGGAGCCTCTGCTGTGCCGTTCCGGCCCCCACCGTAACTCCACCTCCTCTGAGCCGCCTTCCTCGTCGTCCTCCTCCCACACCTCTGATCACCCGCTGCTCAGGAGGAAGAGCATGCAGTGGGCGCGGCGGCTCAGCCGTAAGGGGGGCCGGGGCCCCAGCGGAGCCAAAGGTCCGGGCAGTGCCGCCGAGCGCATCAGCCAGCAGAGGCTCAGCCTCTTCCGCCGCTCTGAGAGACAAGAGCTCAACGCCCTCGTCCGCACACGCATGAAGCACCTCGGCCTGTCGCCATCCGGATTCAGTGAGTGTGTGTGTGTCTTGCAGGGGTGTAAATCTCTGATGTCACAGCAATTCAGTTCAATTAGGATTCTTTAGGAAATGATTCAGTGCATCACATCAAATGTTACAATTAAGATGTACAACACAGATAAAAATAATACACTGCATACACAAATGTGACCGGAGGAAACATTTACCAGTAGTGGTCTATACTATTTTGCACTTTTATAGCATTTTTATTGCCCAAAAAATGTATATGTTCATGTGCAGAGCTGTGAAAAAGTATTTGCCCTTTCCCAATTTCTGTTTTTTTGCATATTTGTCACACTTGAATGTTTTAAATAATCTCATTACTTTTAATTTTAGATAATGATAACCCAACACAAAATGCTGTTTTTAAATTATGATTTCATTAATTGAAGGAAGAATGCTGTTCAGCCCTACTTGGCCCTGTGTGAAAAAGTAATTGCCCCCTTAGATACTAAAACCAAACCAGTAAACTAAAAATTCAATTGACTATTGGGTTTGATTTTACCAGCTAAGCTCAGGCATGATTATTGCCAAACTGGTTGAATCTAAGCATATCTTAAATAGAACCTGTCTGGCAATGTTAAGCAGGCTATAATGTCTCAAAAAGCAGCACTGTGACCTAAAGCTCAAGTGAAGTTGGGTTATGCAGCAGGACAATGATCCAAAGCACACAAGCAAGTCCCCCTCTGAATGCCTCAAAAGAAACCAAATGAAGGTTTTGGAGTGGCCGAGTCAAAGTCCTTACTTGAATCCCCATAAGATGCTGTGGCAAGACTTTAAATGGGCAGTTCATGCTTGAAAACCCTCCAGTGTAGCCGAAATAAAACAATTTTGCAAAGAAGAGTTGACCAGAACTCCCCCCACAGCAGTAGGTTAAGGGGGCAATTACTTTTTTACCTGGGCGATAAAGGTTTTGAATAAATCTTTATCTTCAGTAAATTAAATTATCATTTAAAGCTGCATTTTGTGTTTATTCGTGTCATATTAAAATTAGTTGATGATCTGAAATATGTGAATGTGATTTTTGAAGCAAAAATAGAAGAAATTGGGTGCGGGGCAAATACTTTTTCACAGCACTGCATGCGTAGTTCATACAGTACTGTTAAAAAGCGACAATACTACCCTTCTTTTACTTAATTTCCAGTCAAAATGACCTTAAAAATCCTCTAAATTATTCGTTTTTTAGTATCAGCAAAACATATTTAACAGAAAATTATAGACACCTCAACTAATGACATCATTTTTTTTTTTTATCAAATATTAATGTGTCCACTCTAGGCTTTTATTACAGTTTCCATTCTTTTCAGAAGACTTGCTTTTAGTTTTTCAGATCCCATCTGCAGGGATATTTTTCCACACCTTCAAAGTTCAGTCTTGGAAGTTGTTGCATTTTCTGCTTCTCGCAATCCAATTAATCCCAAACACATTCAGTGTTGTTGAGGTCTGGACTCTGGGGTGGACAGTCCATTGTTCTGAGAACACCAGCAGATTCTTTTTTGTCCTTTTTTTCCTTTTTTCAGTAAGAGCTTCTTGACAGCTACACATCCTTTCAGACTCAAAGTGTTGAGTTGTCTTCTCACAGTGGAAGGATGGACAGAAACACCTGTGGATTTTTTCAGATCTGAAGCAAAAGTGGGGATTGATTTTCTCCTCTCTCTCAAAGATGAAAGCTTTATGTCTTGTTTCTCTGATGGGACAGTTTGGGTGGTCTAGCAGGTCTTGTGTGGTTGTAAGGAGTTCCATTTTCTCCCTTTTTACTTATTTTCCTTTTTCAATTTTCTCAGAAATATCTCCTGAAAATGATTAACTTGCATTTAATGGCCATTTTGACTGGATATTAAATTGATCTCTTGCTTTTTGCACGATACTGTACACTACTAAATATTACCATAATTCAATAAAGATTCCATTCCATTTTTGATACACTTGAATCACCATCTTCAGATTGTTGCATCACAATGCACTGGCGCATTTTACACCTTTCGTGTGTGCATGTGTGTGAGATGTCCACCTGTCACCTCTGGTTGCTGGTAAAGCTGTTAAGCGCTCTGTTCTTGTGTTGTCACTCATGCATCACTGCTTTACTGACACACACCAAAACGCACAACTGCTCTCCTCTGCTCTCTTCCCCTCTGAGTGCTTTAACCATCTGCTTCTTTCCATCTGTGTTTATTAAAACACAGTTAACTTTGTTTGATGTCACTGTTAGGTGTGAATTATGGAACGTATTAGTTAGATACGATATTGTCGTTGTCCAAACAAAGCATGCATCTCCATTTTTTCTTTTTTTTTATTTTTCTACATCATTAGAACATGGCATCTGTTCTTTACACTTAAATTTCATGATGAAGGAAGCAACAGAAATGCTTCACAATTGCTTGGAATATAATTTATTTGCATTTATTTACATGAAATGTTTTAATGTAAAAGTAAAAGTTAAAACTTTACATTAAAGTTTTTGCCTTTTCTTGTTACTTTTGAAGATACATGTTTTTTTTTTTCAACAGCAATAATATAATCCCTTACCATATTTCAGTATTAAGTGATTAGCGATTATAATTATTAAGTTTTGTAAGCATAGTAAGACATGGTAGTGGTGCTCATTCTGAGAATCACACAACGTCAGCAAACTTCACAAAAAATATTGCTCTGCGATGTGTCTGATTTAAGAAAACTGAGAAAACCTCCTCTTGTTCTGAGACATTTTCTTCAAACCTAAAGTCTAGACATCTGTGCCAAAAAGACTACAAAACTGCTCTCTCTTCATCTTGTGAGTATTAGCAAAGTCCGTATAGGAAAGTCTGTCCACTTCACAGCCAACTTTGCAAAACCCCCAGTTATTTTCAGTTATACAAGACTAGGGGCTGTATTACAGAAATTCTTAACTCTGACATCTGTTTAATCACCTTGACCACTTCAATTAGGACTACATTTAGGACAGAAGCTACAGAACAACAGTTCTTAAGGTCATAATCTTATCCATAAACTCCAGATAAGAATCTATCAGTATCACAGAAACATCTTGACTAGACAGAATTTCCTAAATTCTGTCTTAACTTTAAGGCAACCTCAGAGGTGTCTTAACTTCTGTTTTAACTGTCTGTTTCTAGTGTTTAATTCAGTGACAGGCAGCAAAGTGCACTACAAGCATAATGATGTTGCATTTATCTGCACTGAAAACGGTGCTTTGACTTATGAAGGTTTTTTTTTTAAAACTCCAGACACTGCAGACACGATCTCCACTGGCCCCTCTTATTACATTCTTGTGTTAATGTTGATGAAAACTCGTCTGATAAAATATTACAGTGATGGTGGTGAATAACAAGGAGACAGAGCTGAACGTATGTCTGTTTATTAGGAGGAATAACATTAGCACTGTCGGCTAAAGCATTTGGGAAACTAAAACTGAAACTGTGGAGCGGCGACACCCTGATAAACAGCACGAAGTGCTGACACAATATTCATAACTTCGAGTTTATCATGCTTTAGTTTTGTTTGACCTTTTTTACCTTAGTAACAGGAGCTACCTGTCTGGCTAACTAACTTGATTATTGTGATTACGTGTTTATGTTCCAGCTGTGAGCATATATTGTCAGTTGCTTGATGACAGACATGACAGTTAATTGTTGACTTCGATTGAGTAGGTTAAGATTTCCTAACTTCAGATATGCTATCAGATAAGATTCTGAAATCAAGACAAGATTTGCTTCTGCAATACGAAAAATCTTATCTCGACCTGTCAGATCTTAAGACAGAAAGATATGAAGTTTCTGTAATACTGCCCCAGGCTTATATCTCTGAAATCACTGATCAAATCTTACAAAAACAGCATAAATACATAAATACAGCATAAAATAAATGGCTCAAATAACACACAAAAGCTTGTGTGATGCACTGTGATGCACATATCTCTGTAATATGTGGTGGGAGCTTTTCCCACTTCCAGCTTAACCATCATTTTATTTAAGGGCATGATTTTCTTAGTAAACAGATGTTGAGCGTCACCATTCATATTTCAACCAGTGACCTGTCTCCTCCTTTATAGCACCTCTGGTGTAAGGCATACAGCGCCTGTGAATTAATAATAAATGTGAATTATCAATATTGAAAAAAACATATTGTTATTGTTTTATTGCCCATAAATTTCCCTATAAATTGTGTTAACTTGTTCTCTGTCTGATCTCTACTGTTTTTCAATGTCGCTTTGATGTCACTGTTGTATATGTGCGCTATAGATTGTGTCAACTTTGTGCACTGCTGCTTTGTTTTGTGAATCTGCGCTCTCTGATCTCTGGGGTTTGTTCCTGCCTGTCTGATGTGTAGTGGCTTTTACTGTTCGTCTGATCACTATGGCTGTGAGCACTGCCAGATTCTGTGCTAACTGTTACTCTTACCATTGGTCTTTTCTGCTTTTACTGTTGGGAGTGTTTTATAGTGTGGACAATACTCTGCACTCTGTCTCTGTTTCCCTGCCCCTGTCTAATCTCATTGCCTGTTGGCTGTGAACTGTAGACAGTGTCAGACTCTATGCTCTCTGTTTGCATGTCTGGTTTAAGATGGGATGACAGACCAGGGCAACAGACTCTCCTACATCCTCATCAACCCCTCCCCCGACACACGACTCGAGCTGCATGACGTTGTGTAAGTATATGAAAACAGATTAAGCTTTATACTAAAACTATCCTAACTGTCCAAATGATATGTGCTGTGAGTGAATGGCTAGACTGCTTCTCCCTCTCCATTAAGCGAGTAATGGGCACACATTGCCATCTAGTGTTCCAAATAGTTATATATAACTATATATATATATATATAGTGATCATTCTACTTTATTTAGGCCATTGGAAATTAGTCCTGCGCCGCAAGATATTGTAGTGCGGACTTTTAGTTGGAATCACTGACTGAATACAGTCATGCAAAAGTTTGACCACCCCTGGTAAAATGACATTTTGTTGATTTTCTAAGTGAAAATAATGAACACATTTTCTACAGAGAACACACTTCTGCACATTTTAATACAAAATTACTGTTTACTGGCAGAATTTATTTTAGAACATAAAATGTGGCATGTGCAAAAGTTATGGCACTTTCTATATTATGTTTTTATCTCATTCCAATTTGTTAAACTCAGTAAATGAGTAAAAATTGGCACTAAAATTTGCAAAAATGTCATAATTAAGTTCTCTGTAGGTGTTATGTTAACTTATTTTCTCTATAAAATCTAGAAAGTCAACTAAACATGTAGTTTAACCAGGGACACCCAAGCTTTTGCCTACGACTGCATGTACAATACATATATATATATATATATATATATATATATATATATATATATATATATATATATGATAAACTATATACACAAATTGGTGGGAACATTATTGAAAGTTGGCCATGATGATGAAGCTAATTTTGTTTTATAATAATAATAATAATAATAATAATAATAATAAAATAATGTTTTATAAAGTCTCCTGACTAATAAGGATTTGTTTTTCTCTCTTTCAGGTATCTGATTAGGCCTGATCCTCTGTCTCTGATGCCCAACCAGGGCGGTGGCCGCAAGCCCAGCGCAGGCAGACCGGAGGGTCACAGGTTTGATACGCAGGACAGTACCCACCTGTGACCAGACACCAGCACAAATACACTACTACACCACGGCCTGGGAGAGCCTGTGGATGAGAAAGTGTATGTGAGAGAGAGAGAGAGAGAGAGAGAGAGAAAGAGAGAGAGAGAGAAAGAGAGAGAGAGAAAGAGAGAGACCCGAAAAGAAAGGACTGTGAATTACAACTACAAACCTAGTGAGTCGCTGACAACTGTTTCTTTTCTATCTTGAGGCCTGTCAAATGCATGGACCTTTTACAGTCTCATTTACATTTTATTTATTTTCGCATCAGTTGGTTTGTTTTTGTTTTTGATGCAAGGGAGCTGAGGCCACATAAGTGCATTTAAATAAATCTGTACATTGTATTAGTCTTTGTGCATGTGAATGTATGTTAAATAGCCAACACTGCCAATCTTAACCTGGACTGCCAAAGGAACACATTGTCAAATGTACGTTGAGGGGGGAATTTATCTTCTGTCTCTCTGTGTGTTGTGAGCAGTCCATGTCCGTTAGCTGCTCTGTGGATCGTCAATCTGGAATTCATTTTTTTCCCCGTTTTGCGTTGCCTGTGGTAGGAGCTATCAAATGTTTCATGGGCATTTGATACAGGTTGACTTTTTCAGCTCCCTGTGGACTGTATCTGAGCTTGCCAACAGCACGGTAGGCCAAACATGAGCTTATTAACTGGGCCCTGGACCAAATGAGTGAACTTCAATCTTTTCCCCTCATATTAGACAGCATCTGTTTTGCCATTCTCAGAGGAGACTGTTGCAACAAGCCTTCTTTGTCGTTAATGACATTTTTTGACGTAGTCACCGAACAAACCACATCGTTTTTTGTGTATCGATCGACACCACGTTTTTTCGATGTTTGCATTGATAAGGATTGTTTGTTTGTTTTCCCCACCTGGGATGTTCATGCAGTTTCTTAGCCTGTTGTTTTTGTCCTCTGTCAGTTTGAGTATATTGTTGGCATGCATGTGGAAGAGCCTGCATGCAGATGCGGGGTTTTAAAGGACGTCTGACTAGCCATACAAACTGACCGCTTCGTGCTCCTGCTGCACTGGGCTACTGCTGCCTTCATTCAGTGCCATTCACACACAGAAGCATTATGTACAGAATAAAGTGATTAAAACCAAAAGCGTTGCCTTGCATGGGTTTCATGTGAACGTCATCTCCAGTCAGTACAGACAGGATTCAGCTAGTACTGTACTGAGTTTTAGCCTCATACCAATACACAAGCTAACCTTCCCACTTGAGTCAAACATTTCTGAAACCACATTGAAAACCATTGTTTAAAAACCATTATTCACTTGACTTCTGTTGCTGTGTCATGCGGCACTTAGTATGCGTTAGCCACATTATTGAAAATGCTTATTTTTTGCAATCAGAGACTGCAGCTCAGCTGTTGCACAGTTTCTATTATCCATCCTCTAGCTCTTCATCAGTGGTCAGTTTCTTACCACAGAGCCACTATTGGCTGGTGGACCACTCTCAGCATAAAACCGCTGTGCCTGACCCACTCACGCACTACCATATCAGTGTCACTGCTGTGCTGAAAATGGTCCATGACCCAAATAATGTCTGTCAGCAGCAGTCTTGTGGTCAGAAACTGACCAGTTATGAATTGGCGATGAATGAGTGGGGCTTACAAAATGAAAACAGATAATCAACAGTCTGTTATTGTACACCTATATAGTAGGTATATATCTATAAGGTAATTTTGTCCAATAAAATGGCCTGTGAACAAAAGTACAAAGTAGAAGTTTCTAATAAAGTGGTCAGTAAGTGAAAGTACAAGTAAGGGTTTCTGATAAAGTGGCCAGTGAGTGTAAGTACAAGGTATGAGTTTCTAGTAAAGTGGCTAGTTAGGTAAAGTGCAAGTAGGGGTTTCTGATAAGTGGCCAGTGAGTGGGAGTACAAGTAGGGGTTTTTTATAAAGTGGCCAGTGAGTAGAAGTACAAGTAGGAGTTTCTGATAAAGTGGCCAGTAGGTAAAATACAAGTAGGGGTTTCTGATAAAATGGCCAGTGAGAGGAAGTACAAGGAAGGGGTTTCTTTTATAGTGGCCAGCTAGGTAATGTACAAGTAGGGTTTTCTGATGAAGTGGTCAGTGAGTGGAAGTACAAGTAGGGTTTTTTTATAAAGTGGCCAGTGAGTGGAAGTACAAGGTAGGAGATTCTAATAAAGTGGCCAGTTAGGTAATGTACAAGTAGGGATCTCTGATAAAGTGGCCAGTGAGTGGAAGTACAAAGAAGGAGTTTCTGGTAAAGTGCCCAGTGAGTGCAGGTATAAGGTACAGGTTGTTGCTGATGAAGTGACCAGTACAAAGTAGGGGTTTCTGATAAAGCGAAGTGTGTGTGTTATGTAGCTAATTATAGTGACTTAGCAAATGCAGCATTATTCGAATATCACAAGTGTGCGTCATGGATTTTCCCAAAGTGAGGTTTCCCAGGTGAGGTGAGTGGTGGCTTTATTTTTCTGAAATCAGGCTGGGCCTTTACCCTCCATTCGTGTTCATACACCCACATACCACTCTCTCAGTGCACCGTAACAGTGCCTTTGTATGGCTGTCAAACGCTTTCAGTCCCTGTAGATGAATAGGACTATTGACCCAAATTGATGTGGAAGGGTGTAAGAGGCTAGAACACTGAGGTTCAGGCTGAGAGCAGAGGGGATGACTCATCATCATTACGCCGCTAATGGCACTCCAGTTAGTACTTGCAATTATTATTAGTTACAATTAGTCTAAGATGCAGTATTCAATTTCACGCTCACTGTCCGGGCCAAATGGGCTTGTACATGACACTCATTCTTCATGAATCTTGAACGCTGAGTCACAGTCAAACTATACTGTCTAATATAACATTAAATGCATAAATAATTGTATATACGTTCATGTATACAATAATAAGATCTTTGCTCATAGAATGTAATGCCAGTGCTGGAATACATATAAAAATCATGTATTAAATATTTGAAAATACATATTTGAAATACTTTTTTGAAAAATATTCTAAACATACATTCTAAACAATTTCTAAACAAAAGTCAGATATAATAGAAGGGATATTTTATTATAGTTGTAAATTTGATGAAAAGTTATTATTGAGTCCTGTTATCTTGTTATTAATATTACCTCAAATGTAAATGTAATGCACTAACATGACATATATATATATATATATATATATATATATATATATATATATATATATATATATATATATTTACATGTGTGTGTGCCCATTGTTTTGAAGTCTGCCCCGAAATCTGAAATTAGTGTTGTCACTACCCAAACACATATTTTCTGAAATTAAGTAAACTTTTTTGTGTGTTTTAATGATAAACTGTTCAAAGCTGTACTGGCTAATGTTTTTGAGTTCTGCTAGTTAGCTAGTATTATTGTCGCTACTGAAACAGTTACTATGTTTTGGTAGTGTTATGATTGTTTTAGTAGTGACAAAATTGAATGTTCAATCATTTGTATTAATAAAATAAACATAATGTCATTCAGAGCAAAAGGATTTTAGTCTAAAGTCTAAGTATATATCTATATATATATATAAATGTGTGTGTGTGTGTGTGTGTGTGTTTGTTTGTATAGCAAAACGCAGTAATAACTCATTACTTGGACCCTCAGTTGCTGAAAAATGCTATACAAATGGTTTAATTCCTAAAGATTACTGAATTTTCGGTAATTCAGTCACCGTGACCTACACATTTCATTATGTACCTATACATATTATTCTCGTCACCATGATCTGTATATTTATTGTGTACTCTTATGCTTTGTCATAATGGTAAGACTTTTTAAGCACCTCCACCCATTGTCTATACATCTCTACAACCCCTGGCCTACTGCACAATAATGCACACATTCCTGTTGAAGGTGTGGAGCATGTATAGAGACTATACATACACTGGCTATATAAGAAGATGGTCAGACTTCTCTGCATTGAGAGTAACAGCAGTAAGTGGAGACAAATGGCTGGGACAAAAGCATGTAGCATTCTGATCACAGGTGCTAACAGAGGCCTAGGTTTAGAGATGGTCAGGCAGCTGGTGGAGGGACCCTGCACAGCCCAGAAGATTTTTGCTGGATGCCATAGTCCTCAAGGACCTCAGTCAAAGGTGAGTCAGCAGCAGAACTGTAATGGAGAGTGTTAGAAGTTTGTTGTAAAACTCTCTTTCTTTTCTCCTATTTATTATTTACTATTTATTTTTGTGGGTGTTATTTATTTTTTAGGCACTGCAAGATCTGGCAGAAAAATACCCAGACATCATCACTGTTGTCCCTCTTGGTAAACATACATTTTAACTTTGATTATTATTTAATTTAACACAGTAGTCTGTTCCTCTATCAGATTGGCTAAAAAGCAATTTTTTATCACAATGTCTCATATTCTCAATATCATTCAGCTGACAACCGGTTCCTAAGTAACAACAATGGAACGATGGAAGCTGCTGTAGAAAAAAGAAATATCTAGTCTGTCATTAGGATTGTGCTGTATGCAGAGTGAGTTTGGGCGCTATAAGGCTTATGGTGGGACAAGCCAACTTTAGCTGAATATTGTTGACTTCCTAAGTCCTCTCTGTACTAATACAAATTAGTTTCCAGCCAGCATCAGGCTAATGTAGGCCCACAGTCCAGTGCTGGTGGCGAGCCAACATCGAGCCAGTGTAGGCCTCCCAGGAAAAATTATGCTGGCCGACTTTGGGCCAACATATACAACCCTATTTCCAAAAAAATAGGGACTGCTAAACAGTTCGGGGTCTCCTTTGTCGTATTTTTCATTTCATAATGTGCCAAATGTTTTCAGTGGTGACAGGTCTGGACTGCAGGCAGGCCAGTTTAGCACCTGGACTCTTTTAATGCGGAGCAATGCTGTTGTAATACATGCAGAATGTGGTTTGACATTAACTTACTGAAATAAGTAAGGCCTTCCTTGAAAAAGACGTTGTCTAGATGGCAGCATATGTTGCCAAAACATGTATCTATTGTTCAGCATTAATGGTGCCTTTATAGATGTGCACGTCACCCATGCCATGTGCACTAATGCACCCTTATACCATCATAAATACTGGCTTTTGAACTGTGCACTGATAAAAAGCTGAGTGGTCTTTAGCCCGGAGGACGCAGTGTCCATGATTTCCAAAAAGAATTTCATTGATAATTTTATTAATTAGATGTAAACACACAAATGAATTCTGCTTTTCTTTATCATCAACCTGCACCAGCATTCACCTGTCAAGACAAAGATGTCATCAATCAGATAGTTCTTGTTCTAAAGTCTGATTGGCTGAGCCACATTTGAAACCTTGTAAAATACTTAATGGATAAACGTGAGCATGCATACATCATTTAATTTCTGTATTAATGCAGCAAGTGATTAAAAACTGGTGTGTTATTCATGGAAAACTCTTTAACCTGTTACATTTCTTTGCCAGCATAGATTACTGTTACCAAACCATTACTTGGTGGAAGAATTGTTTATTGTGATTACTATTATTAACCACTATTAATACATTGAATTATTTACTGAGAATTGATCCATCATATCATATTTTATTGCCAGTTATTAAAGCAGTAAGCCCTTCAAGGTTGTGTGTTACAGTCATTTTCTGGAGTAAAATCACTGTAATGTGCTTCCTTTGACATTAATTTGAAACATCATTCAGGGCTTTTTTGCTTGACGTTGGTCTTTGAAAAAACCTTGTACAAAAGCAAAAGAACACTAAACGTTGTGTGTTATTGCAGATAAAAACCATGATCTTATTCACAGGAGTGGAAAATACTTGAGTAAAATATATAACTGTGTGATGCATGAGTAGCTCCAGGCCTGACGTCAGGAAACAGTCTCTCCTTGTTGATGTTATAAATGCTGGACAGCGACTGTAATGGAAAACACATTTTTTGACCAACCTTTTAAATTGCCTTTGCTAGACACTACTGACCCCAGCAGCATTAAAGAGTCTGCTAAGATGGTGGGGTCGCAGGTGGGGGACAAGGGGCTGAACGTGCTGGTGAATAACGCTGGTGTGCTGGCTCACGGAAAAATGCAGGACACCTCCGCTGATGACATGCTCTGTGCTTTCACTACCAATGTGATAGGACCCATGTCTGTCACCAAGGTAATCGGACTGAGCAGATTCAGAAGGTGTTGACTTTGGATCAGTTTTAGCTTTGAAAGCAACAGTTTGATGAACCATGTAATGTAAATGGAGTTGATCAGCTGATCACTTTATTAATGTCCAAAGTTTGCTTCTTTAGCACTGGAGCTAAGGTTGGCTAACACTTCTATTGCATGGACGTATATCATACATTATCAGAAATCCAATGTGTTACATGATCGTTACCTGTCTTTTCTGCCTTAAGGAGTACTTACCGTATCTGCGTGTTGCAGCCAGAAGTAGTGGCGAACCAGGCATGTCCTGTTGTAAGGCAGCTGTGATCAACATCTCCAGTAGGCTAGGCTCCATGAGCAGCATTCCCCAGCTCTACTCCATCTTCCCTGCTTTCTCTTACAGCATCAGCAAGGTAGGCCTCGTAACAGCTGGTTCAAAAATTTGATGGAAGAGGGCAGTACTGAATTTTAAGAAGCTAATATTATATCCTGTTTTTAGGCTTAGTTAGAATGAAATTTGGGCTGAATTTTGGTCTGAAATGTTTTAGCTACATAGGGTCACTTGGGGGGAAGTCATACACGGTAAGATGCCCCCCACCTCCCTTGTATTCTTTGCTGATGAAAAGATGGGACCATATTTATTCTGAACACACTCACTAAATGGCTTTACTCTAAAATGTCATCTGGTTCACTGTATTGCTAAGATTTATTCCCCCAGAAACTTTTTGGGGTCAGCTGATCAAATGTTTTGGCATTAGATAATCAGTTTGTCATTTTCAGGGTTGCCAGTATTTACAGGCCTTTTACAAGATGTAGAAGAGAAGAAAAAAAAGACTTACTGACAAACAGAACAAAAAGTCAGACGAGTCCTGAATACTCCCACCGCAATGTCACCATAACGCCGAAAAGTTCACGCCCTTCACTCTAACGTCTACCTATAATCTACACAATAGAGTTATGACATTCCCTGGAGAATTACTCACATTGGCTATCGTATTTTCCATTGAGTTTTCAGTCATAAGCATAAGCCACTCTGTAACCTCTGGTTTATGTGGGCTCTTCCATTTACAAACTTAAGTCTGGTTGCAGCAATAAAACCTGCTAGAGCCAATCCACACTCTGCTTCAGTGACTCCTGGTGGAACCAGAGACCTGTCTACAAGGAGACGCAACTGCAGAGATCGTTATATGATATTGATTTATACATCAAATTAAGTTGTTTGAAGTATATGATTATACTTAATGGTCCACCTCAGACCACACAGATTATTGTCCTTACAACTAGTTTTTATTCTCCTCAAACAGATTTTCAATGCACAGCTTTTTATTTTGGAAAATAAGACAAAAAATTACAAACAACTGAGAGGAAAAAAAATACTGTCTAGGCCTAATATAAAATAATTTTGTTCAAAATGTTGCTGACACTGTGCTAGATTAATTTACAAAGTATAGAAAAGAGAGAAATGAAGGAAAAATGAGTAAATTGGACTGTGAGTAGAAACTGAGTGATGAAAAGTGTAATTTTTTCTAATATTCTGCTTAAGCACTGGTGGGCCACCTGGAAAACGTTGGGCAAAAACCCAGTGGGCTGCCAGCTTTGCCATCATATCCTCTTGCTGTCATTGTTAGCCTTGTTTGGCTATACTGTCTCATTTAGACCTGCTCGAACACATTGTACGGAATATGTTTCCAAAGCTCGGATTAAGTGACATCAGATCTGCTTCTGTCTCTCAGGCCGGCCTGAACATGTTGACAGTGTATGCTGCTCTGGAGCTGAGGAAGGATGAAATCCTCTGCACTGCTCTGCACCCAGGCTGGGTGCGCACAGACACAGGAGGAGAACAGGTGAATGAAAAAGAAAGTGAGACAGGCGAAAACCGAAGCTAATTTTCAGTGGAAAGTGCAGCAAGCTAACTGCTAGTTATAAGTTTGGAGTGCTGGGCAATGAACTGGAAACTTTAAAGTGATTTCCAAATTTCAAAAATCTCCCCTTCGGGATTCTGAGTGTATTTTTATGCATATTTTATGCATCAAAATGATGAACGTATGTAATGAGAGATGTGAGAGGTGAGTCATTTAACTGGGAGCTTTGCAATACTGAACTATTTTTAAGGTACTTTGACATACCCCATTATCCTCGCAGGAACACCAGCGGTTGTGCCAAATTTTTAAACATAGCCCATTCCAGATCACTGAATTACCACATTAAAACAGATTCTGGTTAAGCACTCCAGAAATGTCATCTAAGTAAATGTAAATCAAATCAGTAAGAGGACAGAAGTGCTTTGCTTATTTCTGTTTATTTCAAAACATGCTGAAAACTGTTTGGATTCCAGTCAGTTTAACCATGACTGCATGCATTGGTTGACGTTTGCTTGATAGCTGATAAACCATCCATCTCCAGTTACACACTAATCATAGCATTTAGCTAATGTGTTCACCCAAAGCAACTCCCAGCACCCTGACCGCTAAGCTCTCTCTGTTTTTTGTTTTTTTTTGCTAGGCATCAATGGAGGCCAAGCAGAGTGTTGAAGCCCTGCTGAAAGTGATGAGTTCACTCAATGAACAGCATCACGGTGGGTTCTTGGATTACGCTGGGAACACTGTGCCCTGGTGATCCATGACCGTTTACATACGTACATATTGAAGATCCAAACATCATGAAAGACATCTTGAACGTTACAGTAGAACATTTTTATACCATACTAATATGTCTTATTTTATACAGTAATATTTTGTACACTGCAGAGTTAAACTAGAGGCCAAAAGCTTGTTTCTTTCAATAGTTGGAGTTTTTAAATGATAAATAATAATAATAATATGCTGTAATTATCTATTTTTATCAGGTTTTCTGCCTCTTGATTTGATCACCACCTTTTATAAAGGATATTCAGAACTTAATTCTTGATGTTATACAGCTTTCTCAGTCATTTTGGAATCATCTACATCACTATTCATTCTGGACATTTTTACAGCGTCCTAATAATTAGTAGTAATCGCTTTAACCTGTTTTACGCATTAAGCATTTTACAAGAATTTAATACATTTATCTGGTTTTATATTATTTAAAATATTGATTGCAAACTTTTGAACTGTAGTGAAACCCTCACCAACGTACAACACCTAACCAACTTGAATAAAAGTGGAATTTTGAATGTATTTTCATTACATTGCATTGATTTAACAGCTGATTACAGTTCATCAGTCAAGAGCACAACAGAATGTAACAACTTAATACACAACTAGGAATATAAGTACATCCTGCTTGCTTTTAAAAGCCACTGTCACCAGGAGATGCTGTTCCACACCGCCACTTTAACCGGGCAGATCTTCAGAGGGCCTGGGTTGCTGCCGTTAATATTTGCCCCGGGGCAGAAAAAGGGAAACATCCTCTCTGTAAAGTGGTCAGTGAAGGTGTAGATGGGCGTTAGGTCCAGAGGGTTGGAGAAGCTCACCTCCCCAGCCTCATAATCCAGCTTCACCCTCACTCTCTCCAAATGACCACTTATGTTCAGCTGTGTTGGCGGAGCCGTCATGGCCGTGTAGCGGCCGTCCGACCGAGCTATGGTCCAGGAGCCTCCCTCGGGACCTCCTGAGATCTTGCCCTTCCTGGATATGGACTCCTTCACCACACCGATGACCCAGTCGTTGTTCTCCCCCACCATTACCTCCCAAGCATGGCGGCCCGAGGTGAAGCCCTCAGATCCGAGCACGAACACAAAGTGGTCGAAGCGCTCTGGGTTATCAGGCAGCTTGTGCATGACCCCGGTGTTGCTCACGCTGGTCAGGTTCCTGGATAGGGACAGGCAGGGGTAGGCCGTGTTGGGGTCCAGAGTCACAGGAGCTAAAAAAGTGGAAAAGATGATGGAGGTGTGTCTTAAAGCAATAAGTGCTCACTAATTTTGTTATAACTAAGTAGCAAGGAAAAAAAACATGATAAAATACGCACAGACTCAAAAAGAAGGGCCGGCTCGATGTTTAGGTTTCAAACATAAAATCAACGTTATACTGATGAAGATATGATGACAATAGTAGATAATTAACAAAATTTTGACTGCATTCTCTTTGAATACTCTTTCAATACGGTCACAGTCATCAGATTAATCTCAGGGAAGGGCACCAAAGCCCAACTATCATTACAAAATGCTCTTCTGTATGTTGCATGCAATTACACATTTCCACCAGAGAGGTCTCCAAATCCCCAAAACTGTCATAATTTTTTTATTATTTAAGTTATTTTATTTTACACAAGCATTTCTGAACTTGCACACTTTTACTTTTTACTCATGAGAAAATGATACTGTTTCATGTTCATGTTTTCATGTACATCTTCAAAATGCTTGGTATTAATCCCAAAGATCTATTTTTTCCTCTTGCCAGTCAGTTGGGCTTATTGTTTTTATAAAAACACCCAACCAAATAAAATTCATATCAATATAAAAGGAAAATGCCCACAACTACATTAAGTTGGCTTAAACAAGTATGAAACTAGAAAGAGTAAAATGATCTTAAACCCTACACTAATCTCAAAATAAGAATATTTAGATATAATGATTAGACTTAAAAGGGAATTCTTCAAAGTTACTGCATAAATCATAATTCAGAGTTGTTTAATGTGAAATGGTCCACTCTGGAGAAACTTTCTACGTTAGAATTAATTACACAAAATGGTTACAAATACGATGCCTGATGGCTGAGACATTGTTTTATGTTAGTTTTGAGATAAAGCTTTGGCCTACAATGTATTTTTAAAATCCACTTACTGTGGTGGGGTACATGCAGGGTGTTGTGAGGCAACATAATCCCCTAAAGAAAACATAATTTTTCTGATTTTACCACTATGTTACCATCCACAACAGAGAAACTCAGAATGTCAGTGTAAATTCACTGGTGGTTTTGGACAGTAAATAAAATGGCTATTTGTGTTGTAGACGCAGCGATCCAATGTTCCTATCAGCACCACAGTAAAGAAAACAGAATCAAGAAGTTTCTCTACAGTGAGCCATTTTACATCAGACCACTCTGAATGACCTTGTTTACATTTCAACCACTGAATTATGCTGAAATTTTAAAAATCTGTTAAATTCCTTGTTGAAATTATTTTTCATTGCCAAGTATTTATGCTGTGAATCAGTTCAACAGTGTTTCTCTGTTCCGATACATCACAGTTATTTAACACATACTGCAAAAGTCGGACCCACCAACATCTCTTGAACCTGCCAGTGTTTGGAGAACTTACTATATTCCACCATGGCCTGCATTTTCTCCCACACGCTGAACTTCAGAGAGCTCACATACTTGGCCACATTGATTAGAGCAGCTGGAACCTTCTCTGGTTCAACGAATGTTAACTGAGTCCTGCAATCGCAACAGCGAGATCAATCAGCAGACTGTGGATTTAGGATAAATATAGGAATGTAACGCTCTCAGTGGAGTGTACTGACCTCTTTTTTATGAGCTTGTAGTGCTGCAAAGGAAAGACAAGTATCAGCATTAAAATGCAGATTATAAACCTTGTTATTATTGTATTATAAAGAAAGTGTCACACCTGCAGAAACTGGGAGTCAGCGTTAGCGATCTCGTCATCCACGGCCTTGACGGCATGAGAGAACGTGAGAATGTCACGCGTGATGTTGTCCGTCTTTTTCTTCATCAGCTGCTTCTTCTCCTCCTCTTCCTCGGCCAGCTGAGCCAGCCTTGCTGCCTCTTCTTTGTCCAAGAACTGCCTTATCTCTGCAAACTCCTCCCGTATCTGTTTCTCAGCCTGCTGCCTTTGGTTCTGTGGAAACAGAGAAGGGACGCTAAGCTGCAAAACACCAATTTTCACATGAGGCGTAGAAAGGCGCTCCATGTCGAGTGAATTGCTGCACGCGAAAACAGTAATTGTGCAGTAAATTACAGATAATTGCCACAGTCACTGATTTGTTGCTTTCTGTTTACAACTCCCTCAGCTGTGGGAACTTCATTGGCTTTGTTTGCAACTCCCTAAGCTGGATGGATTCTTTGGCATAGCTTTACGGTTTATTTTGAGCGGTTTAAATGTTCTGGAAAGTTCAGTCTGATCTCTGTTGATACCTTGATGTGTACAGTAACGTCGTCGTGCTCCTGCTTGGCCTCGTAAAGGCGCCGGAGGTTTTTCTTCATGGGCACAAGTTCCTTCTTCAACTCCGCCTACAGAACAGGACAAAGTCAGGTTGAGAGGTGACAGAGGTGACAGACACAAAGCACCATAACAGCAAAGATACAGCAGGGACCACAAGTCTGAGACCACTAGTGAAGGTGCTTCTGTTCTGCATTCTTTTCTAATTCAATACAGTTTTTCATTACAAATTATATTATCAGCATAACAATCTGGGAGAACAGTATAATCTTTGAAATTTTAACATGAATTTAAGAATTTCGTAAGTGTTTGTTCCCTTTTTGATTTAATCACAGAATGCGCTCAAGCTAGTGCAGTTTCTGATCACTAACAGTGACAAGAATCTCTGAAAAGTCGAGTCACAAAACAGCTTTACAGAAAAATCCAGCTCCAAGCCCCCATAAGCATCGCCAATGGCAAGGAAAAACTCCCTAAGAGCAGGAGGAAGAAACCTTGAGAGAAACCAAGACCCAAAAGGGGAACCCATCCTCCTCTGGTCGACACCGGATAACAAACAGCAGTAGTATAAAATATTAGAATACAAAACGGGGAGAAACAGGTGGAGTAATGGTTAATTAGATAGTTTGTGTTTATGCAGCAGCAGCAGCAGCATCATCAGGGTCAGTTCATGAAGCTCACCACGTTTGCACAGCGTTGTACAGCATGAAGCTCAGTGGTGGTCAAAATGGTCCAGAAGGCTAAAACGGTCCAGAAGGCTGGCAAGCAGTGGGCACTCGATGATAAGTAGATCAAATCCACCTGAGAGTCATCTGAACATGAGCTTAAGGCCAATTTCAGAGATTTGCTTAAATTTGAATGGTGAGCTAGAAATCATGCAGAATCTTGAATATTTCTTCTTCATTTTACTTGTAATAAATTTATACAATTCAAAATTCTAAAATTTTTTGTTTATTTGCAGGATTAAATAAAAACAATCCTAGATTTCCAAAGTGGCCTCAGACTTTTGGACCCCACTGTATGTCCAAAAGTATCCAGAAACCCCTTCTAATTAGTGAATTCAGCCACTTTAGGTGCCCCCATTGCAATTGTGTGCGCCCAGCTTGCATAATCTCCATAGAAAAGTGTTGCCAGTAAAATGGGACGCTCTGGAACAGCCACATACTAGCCTAAGGTCACCGTGCCTATTGTCAAGCATCGGCCTGAGCACTGTAAAGCCCTTCAGCTCTGGAATTGTATTCTCTGGAGTGATGGAGCGCCATCCAACACCTTTGGAATGAGCTGGAGAAGAATTTGTGACCCAGCACTAATAATCTGACATCAGTACCTGACCACAATAATGATCTTGTGGCTGAATGCAATCAAATCCTCACAGCAAAGAGTAGAGGCTGTTACTGCAGCAAAGGGAGACAAACTCCCTATTAATACACTTTGTTTCAAAAGAAACACTGTATGAGCAGATGTATACAAACTTTTGGACATTTAGTGTAACAGCAGTGATAATATGGCGCTCAACTTTGTGCCTTACAGCGACACTTTAATGTATTAATA